ATTATTTTTTTTTTCCACTACGCCCAGCTAATTTTTGTATTTTTAGTTTTTTTTTTTTTTCATCATGTTGACCAGGATGGTCTCGAATTCTTTTTTTTTTGTGATCCACTCACCTTGGCCTCCCAAGGTGCTGTTTTTTTTTTCGTGAGCCACCGCGCCTGGTCACACGTTTTTTCTTTTTTTTTTTTTAAATTTCCTCATAGTACTGCTTGGGTTACATTTTTTTTTTTTTTGTACATAGTTTTCATTGTTCAGTTCTAAATTTTTTTTTTTTTTCATTATAATTCTTCTCAGACCAGTGCATTTTTTTTTTTTTTTTTAATTTAAAAAATAATTTAATTTATTTTTTTTTTTTTTTGGGGGTCTCACTATGTTGCCTAGGCTGGTCTTGTTTTTTTTTTCTCAAGCGATCCTCCCGCCTTGGCCTCCCGAAATTTTTTTTTTATAGGTGTGAGGCACCATGTCTGGCCAGTAGTGTTTTTTTTTTTTTCCAAACATAGGGGAGCCCTTAGTTTTAGTTTTTTTTTTTTTTTATGCCTTTATTCTATTGCATCAAGAACATGTTTTTTTTTTTGTGAGTTCTTTTGCTATTTGCTGAGTCTTGTTTTTTTTTTTTGGACATGGTGAGTGTTAGTAAATGTCCAAGGTGTTTTTTTTTTCAATGTGTGGTCTGTAGTTTTTGGGTGTCCACTTTTTTTTTTTTGTTCAACTTTTCCATATTCTTTTTTTTTGACATTTTTTTTTTCTGTTGCCCAGGCTGGAGTGCAGGGGCACGATCTCAGCTCACTGAAACCTCAAGTTCAAGTGATTCTCCTGCCTTATTTTTTTTTTTAGCTGGGATTACAGGCACGAGCCACCACATCTTTTTTTTTTTTATATTTTTTATTTTAGTTTCAGCATGTTGGCCTTTTTTTTTTTGAACTCCTGACCTCAAGTAATCTGCCTGCCTTTTTTTTTTTTAGTGTTGGGATTACAAGCATGAGACGCTATGCCTTTTTTTTTTTTTCTACATTCTTACTAATTGAGTCTGCTTAGATTTTTTTTTTCAGTGAGAGGTGGTATAATTTCCTGCATGGAGATTTTTTTTTTTTAAAATTAATTTTTCCTTTTCTTGTTTTGTAGTTTTTTTTTTCTCTATCATTATGCAGGCACACAAGATCAGAATTTTTTTTTTTTATTTTTTTTCCTGTCACCCAGGCTGGAGTGCAATGGCGTGATCTTGGCTCATGGCGACCTTCTCCTCCCAGGTTCTTTTTTTTTTGCCTCAGCCTCCCAAGTAGCTGGGACTACAGGTTTTTTTTTTTACGCCTGGCTAATTTTGTACTGCAGTAGAGATGTTTTTTTTTTATGTTGGTCAGGCTGGTCTCGATCTCCTGACCTTTTTTTTTTTGCCTGCCTTGGCCTCCCAAAATGCTGGGATTACTTTTTTTTTTAACCACGCCTAGCCGCTAATACTTCTTTTAAAATTTTTTTTTTATTTATGTATTTATTATTTTCCCCCACCCCTCCTTTTTTTTTTAATGCTTTGGAATGAATACTCATCAGTATGCTGTTTTTTTTTTTAATCCTAATAATGATTTTGCCCTGGAGCCTAGTTTTTTTTTTATGAGCTTCTCTCCACTAGCTTCCTTTTGCATGTTTTTTTTTTGATGTGTCTCCTTCTATCTGTAGCAATTACAGCTTTTTTTTTTATGTGTCAAAAATAAACAAAAGGGGTTTATGATTTTTTTTTTTCGACTTACACAATCGTCAGAAGAAATAGAGGAACAACTTCCAGCCCTCTGAATCGGCCACTTCCTGGGATCAGGAATTTTTTTTTTTCTCAAAATGCAGGTAAACAGTCTACCTCCTGTTTTTTTTTTTAGATGCCAAGCATGCCCCTCCCCTCAGCCAGGCTTTTTTTTTTCAAACTTCAACGACCACTGGCCTCCCTGCTGACTTTTTTTTTTCTGAGGAGCACCAAGCTCTGAACCAACTGCCTGTTTTTTTTTTCCTCAGGCTGCACCTGCTCCCCAGGTCTGCCCCTTTTTTTTTTCTGCCTCTGTCCACCAAGGGTGCTGTCACTCACTTTTTTTTTTAAACCAGAACCCGGTGGCACCTTGCTGCCCCCTTTTTTTTTTTAAGAAGCTGCCCCCATGCCTGTCAAGTTCTTCCTTTTTTTTTTAACTTCTGGAACTTCAGGCCTCAGCATGTCTTGTCTGGGTGGCTGCAATGGCTATGCTTTCTTCTCTCTCTCCATCTTTTTTTTTTCCAATCAATCGATCATCTATCAATCAACTATCCTTTTTTTTTTCTATAATGAATAATCTATCAATCTATATCATTTTTTTTTTTTTTCAATCATTGATCTATCCCATGTATCTTCCTATTTTTTTTTTTTCATGTCTCTCCATCTGTCTATCATTTATGCCTCTATCATGTCTATCTTTCAATCATTTATCTATCACCAGGCACAGTGGCATGTGGCTGTAGTCCCAGCAACTCAGGAGGCTGAGGCAGGAGGACTGCTTGATGCTAGCACATCGAGTCCAGACTGGGCAACATAGTGAGATCTCATCTCTAAAAAAATTTTAAATCATCTCTCTTTTTTTTTTCATCTATCTATCCATGTATCTATCATGTATTATCTTTTATCTATCACTTATCACCCATCAATCATCCATCATCTATTTTTTTTTTTTATCAATGTCTATACATGTATATATCTATGTATTTTTTTTTTTATCAATCATCTACCATCTATCTGCTTTTGAGGTTTTTTTTTTTAAATACACAATCAATCCCTTTAAAGTGCACAATTTTTTTTTTTTTAGTATGCTCTATAGTTCCAGAACATTTTCTTTTTTTTTTTTAGAAATCTGAGGCTGGGTGGGGTGGCTCATGCCTATAATCCAGCACTGTGGGAGGCTGAGGCAGGACGATTGCTTGTTTTTTTTTTTTTGAGACCAGCCTGGGCAACATAGTGAGATCCTTTTTTTTTTAGAAATCACAAAATTAGCAGGGTATGGTGGCACTTTTTTTTTTTTCCAGCTACTCAGGAGGCTGGGGCAGGAGAATTTTTTTTTTTGGGGAGATCAAGGCTGCAGTGAGTTATGACTGCTTTTTTTTTTTCCAGCCTGGGTGACAGGGTGAGATCCTGTCTCTTTTTTTTTTAAAAAATACATACAATATATATATATATATTTTTTTTTTTTTTCCCGCCCCATTTTCCTTCCCCTGCCCCAGCCCTTTTTTTTTTTTTGTCTGCTTTCTGTCCCGATGAGCCTATTCTGTTTTTTTTTTTCTGGCTTCTTTCACCCAGCATGAACTCTTCGATTTTTTTTTTTCATGTTATGGTGGAATGGCACTGCGCCTTATGGACAGGCTGTTTGTCCATTTGTCTGTTGACGAGCACTCAGGCTTTTTTTTTTTTGGGAGGCTATGGCCATCCATGCATAAAGGTATTTTTTTTTTTCTGTTCTCAGTTCTAGTGCCTCTGAGGCCAGGTTTTTTTTTTTACCCCATTCCCACCAGCCACCCTCACATGCAGCTTTTTTTTTTCAACACTGCTTCCCTGTTGCTGACAGCGCCTTGGTGGCCTCTGGGCTAAGTCCTGCCTCTGTAGTGTGGCCTCCAATTTTTTTTTTCCGCAGCCCTCCCTTACCCTGCATGCAGCACGATTTTTTTTTTCTGTGCTCCTGGTTCCCGCCAGGTCCCTGCACATTTTTTTTTTTCTCCCTAGAAGAGCCAGCAGCACCCTGTGTGGTTTTTTTTTTATCCCTTCTCTTGCCTTCGTGCTCCTCCCACAGTTTTTTTTTTGATCCCCTCCCCTAGTCCTATTTGGGCTCAGCCTTTTTTTTTTTGCAATGTTGTTGCAGGTTCTGCCCCGCCACCGTCATGGGAACCCTAAGAGCATTGGTGTGAGGCTTGGCGGAGGACATGCTGGACCGTGTCTTCTGGTGACTTTCCCCCGCAGAAGGGTTTTTTTTTTAGGCCCACTCCTTTCCCAAACTCACTCTTTCCCTTTTTTTTTTCCCACTCCCTCTCCTCCATCTCTCCCCGAGACCCGCAGCAGACACCACCAGACTCCGAGGCAGGGAGGAAGGACTGTTTTTTTTTTTGGAGGCTTTTACTGGGGGGACTGGGGGTGGCGTTTTTTTTTTGGGCTGAGGGCCTGGGAAAGGCACACGGTGGCGGTGGGGTCTCTCGGGCAGGTGCTGGCTCTATAGACAGCTCCCCTTTTTTTTTTCTCTTTGGCACTGAGCTGGGAACATGGTGTCCGTTTTTTTTTTTGGCAAGCAGAGGCCCGTGTGCCCCGGTGGCGGTTTTTTTTTTAGGCTGGCGGGGTGACGGCCACAGGGGCTGGGTTTTTTTTTTTTGGGAGCCAGGGCCCCATGGGACTCAGAGGCTGTTTTTTTTTTGCTGCTGGCAGGGTAGTCACATTGGCCATGGAGTTTTTTTTTTATAGGGAATCCAATAAATTAGGCTGTAGAAAGATTTTTTTTTTGGCCGAGGGGGCTGCGGCTACATTCTCGCTCGGTTTTTTTTTTTGTGCGTCCCTCTCCCGTGGGCTCTTCAGGGCTTTTTTTTTTTAGAGGATGCAGGTGAGGGGCTCTGTGTGACCATTTTTTTTTTTGGGTGGCTTATATGGCATCCCATGGGACAGAAGCCTTGGCTGGCCACCCTCAGGGGATGGATCATGGGGTCTTTGATTTTTTTTTTAGGAGGGAATCATGGGGACTCGAGTCTCCGGAGTTTTTTTTTTTGCAGCACCAGGGGCTGTGGCCTGAGTGGCTCCTTTTTTTTTTCTGCGCTGCTGTGGCCAGCACTGGGCCCCCGTGTTTTTTTTTTCTCCGCGGAGCAAAGTAGAAGACTCACTACCCTTTTTTTTTTTCAGTCACTGTGGAACAGCCCCCCCAGGGAGTGGTTTTTTTTTTGTGGGGGTTATGCAGGGCGTCACCCTCCACATCTTTTTTTTTTAGGGCGGGAAGGGTCTTCTAGGAGGGGCCAGGCTTTTTTTTTTAGGGTGCATGCGCAGGTGGGTGCTGCTGTCTCCTTTTTTTTTTCTGAGCTTGGGGGCGGGGCAGGGGCCGGGGAAGTTTTTTTTTTGTGGAGGCACCCTGGAGGCCACCAGGGTCTTGTGGGCTAGGTGCCGGCACCTGTGCTGGGGCCATGGCCTCGCCCAGGATCTGGCAGAGCTCTTGGAGGCGCCGTTGCATCTTGGGAATTTTTTTTTTTTGCTGCTCCAGCCGCTGCTTCTCCTCTGTCAGGCTCAGGCGAGCAGCCGAGTCCAGCTTCTCGAACTTCCAGCCACTTTTTTTTTTGAACTGTAGCAAGTGTGTGTGGTACTTCCTGGCCAGGAGAGGGACAGGGTCAGGGGCACGGCACGAGGGCTGCTGATTTTTTTTTTCTGCTGCTGCTGGGCTCACCAGGCCACGTCCTCCCCTCAGGCTGCCACTCCCACCGACCCCAGACAGGGAGAGAGGTTTTTTTTTTCAGGGAGGGCCGGTGGGTGATGGAGAGCAGGGCTTTTTTTTTTTCCTTGGCTGCCTGGAAGATCTTGCCTTCCACATTTTTTTTTTCGGCACTGGTGCATTCATCCAGGAGGGCGTACTTTTTTTTTTTGGTCCGGGCCGAGAGGGGAGTCTGTGCACCCTCCAGGGCCCAGTACCTCAGCCCAGCTCAGGCTCCACTGAGCCCAGGCCTCCCCATGGCTGCTACTTCCCCTTCCAGGGGACCCCAGGTTTTTTTTTTTGCTCACCTGTGGTAGAACATGCGGGCCATGCCTTTTTTTTTTTTCTCGCCACCCGACAGGACGTCCTTCCAGTCACACATAGCCTCCCAACCTGGGCGGGGGCAAGGGTCTTGGCTCATTTTTTTTTTCACCCAGCCCTGGGGGCCGGCCGGGGAGCTGGGTTTTTTTTTTGAATGAGCTGGCTGTGATGACAGGGCCACTGTGTTTTTTTTTTCTTGTCCGTCTGCCAGGCATTAATCATGGAGGATTTTTTTTTTGAATCATGCCTTCTCCTAGAAGAGATATGGTGGTTTTTTTTTTCCAGCACTTCAGTGTGACCTTATTTGGAGACAGTTTTTTTTTTGAGGTGATCACACTAAGATGAGGTCATCAGAGTTTTTTTTTTTTCAATATGACTATGTCCTCATAAAAAGGGGGCATTTTTTTTTTGGACGTGCATAGAGGGAACATGAGGTGAAGATATTTTTTTTTTAGTGGGCTATCTGTGAGCCAAGGACAGAGGCCTGGAACACATCCTTCTGTCACGACACCCAGAAGGAGTCCACCCTTTTTTTTTTTGGATCTCAGGCTGCTGGATGCAGGAGATGACCCTTTTTTTTTTTTTATGGCAGCCCCAGGGCACCCACACAATTCCTTTTTTTTTTGCCCCAGAGCTGCCACAGTGCTCTCCCCAGACCAGGGGCTTGTCACCACCCACAGGGGTTGGGCCTCCTGTCACTGTTTTTTTTTTGCACTTTGGCAAGGCTCGAGTGGGCTGCTTGAATTTTTTTTTTAGTTGGCTGCTCCACTGGGCCGGGGCACTGCAGTTTTTTTTTTCCCTCCTGTATTCTCGGGCATGCTGCCTTCCCCTTTTTTTTTTGACTGGAAGTGGCGACAGGGTGTATGGCCACCCTTTTTTTTTTTTACGCTTCCCAGGTGGCCTTGTGGTGAGGTGTTTTTTTTTTTCTAAGTTGTGGCCAATGAGATGTAACTGTAAGTTTTTTTTTTTGTGTCTTCTGGAACCTTCCTTAAAAGATAGAAGTTTTTTTTTTTTTGCCCCTTCCCTTCTACTTCCTCCATCCTACTTTTTTTTTTATGATGTGAGGGCTGCAGCAGCCCCCCTGTATCTTTTTTTTTTTTCGGAAATGGAGGCCACACACAGCAGAGTGACTTTTTTTTTTAGCCTAGAGCCCTGGGACCTTCACAGAGCAGGGCCAGCCCCGGCAACCGTGGCCTGGCTCTCTTGGGACCTAACAGTTTTTTTTTTTAAACTCACAAACGATCTTAGCCACTACTGCAGTTTTTTTTTTTCTGTTCCTCGCAGCTCAACTCCATCCTAACGGTTTTTTTTTTCCGGCCACAGGCCCTAGGCATTCAGGCTGCCACTTTTTTTTTTGGGGCCACTGCTCCCAGGCTGAGGGCAGCAGGAGCAAGAAGCAGGGCCGCGCCAGGGGCTGCTCCACTGCCATCGCTTTTTTTTTTCCCGCTTCCTCCACAGGCAGGTGACAACACCCCTTTTTTTTTTTGCAGGAGCCACTTCTTCTCATGTTGCCACCAATTTTTTTTTTGGTGCCTGTGCCCTTGAACCGTGAAGGGGAGCCCCAGCAAGGCGAGGCCCTTGCCCAGGGCAATCTTGCACCCAGCTTTTTTTTTTGGAAGCTGAACCCAGAGGATCAGAATTCAAAGATTTTTTTTTTCACTCCTACCGTGTCCCTGCAGCTGCACCCCCCTTTTTTTTTTTGCTCTCCCAGCACGATGGACACTGTGAACAAGTTTTTTTTTTTGATAAGCCCAGGACAAGACAACAGCTTAGTCTTTTTTTTTTTTCCGTGAACTCATCTCAGAATCCACCCGACTCTTTTTTTTTTTGCCCCCTCCAAGCGTCTGCACAAACCTCCGGACTTTTTTTTTTACTGCACACATGTGCCTGCCCCTGCCCACCGCCCCATGGTCCTTCCAAGAGCGTCTGATCCTGCTCAGGGAAAGCCTAGGCTCCCGTCTGGTCCGGAGGGGACTCTGTGAGCTAGCCTCTTTTTTTTTTAAGCCTGTGGGCCGCACTCCGCCCTGCTGTCCCTTTTTTTTTTACAGGGTAACCGCTCAGCATTCTGCAGGGCTCATTTTTTTTTTCTTTTCTCTGGGAGAGGGTATCCTGGGTCCCCCTTTTTTTTTTACATCCCTGTTAGGTGCCCCCTTCTCTAGAGCATTTTTTTTTTCTGGGGCCATCTGTGTGGTGCTGGTCCTCCCTGGTAGGCAGGCCTTAGAGGCAGCACCCTCTGTCCCGCCCCTGTGTTTTTTTTTTCTTTAGACTCCTGGATGTTGAGATAATCTTCACTTTTTTTTTTCCAAGGGAGAGGCCACAGTGGGACAAAAGGAGGCTGCCAGCCCCAGGCCTCCTACCTCCCTCCCGCTGCAGGATGTTTTTTTTTTTCACGATGTCCAGGATGGCTTCCAGGTCCTGCTCTTTTTTTTTTTTCCTTCGCATGTCCTCCACTGAGTCCGGGTAGTTTTTTTTTTCACGCAGGGAGCCCACAGACATATAGGGCCTGTTTTTTTTTTTGGTGTCCATAGAGGGAAGGGCTGGCCCTGCCTCTTTTTTTTTTCTCTGCGCCTCCCAGGCAGTGTCCACATGCCACGCTCACACGCACCCACACGCTCACGTCGCCGCCCGTGCACACACCCCACAGAGATCCAAAACAGGGCAGTGGATTGGGCGGGTTTGTTTTTTTTTTGAACCATAGCCTGTCTCTGGCTCTGGGGACAGTTTTTTTTTTTCCTCTCCTGAGGTGCTGACTCTTCACCACTTCCTGGGCCTCTGCAGGAAGCCATGCGTGAGCGCACAGGCAGGAAGTTTTTTTTTTGAGACGCATGGGCTTCCTCACCTCTGTGGGATGTTTTTTTTTTGCTGGGGTGGGGGCTTGTAGAGCACACCGCCGTTTTTTTTTTTGAGCCCACCCAGGATCCGGAACAGGGAGCTCTTTTTTTTTTTTTTGGGGCCCGTGATGAGCAGATGCATGCCTTCCTTTTTTTTTTGGGGCAACAGCCACTGACGCCAGAGAGCGCAGGCTCCTTCCCGTACCCTATGGCCTCCTGCCCAGCCTTGAGAGGCTTTTTTTTTTCGAGGCCAGCAGGCGGGCCATTCTTGATCTGTTTTTTTTTTTTAGCAGGGCCTGGGGGATGGGATCCAGCATCCACGGCCCTAGCTAAATTTAGCTCTCGCTAAATGCCTGGCCCAGGATTTTTTTTTTGACAAGACCTGGCCCTGTCCTCAGGCCCTGACATTTTTTTTTTACGTGGGTCCAGCACAAGAGGAAGGGCCTATTCTTTTTTTTTTGAACGAGTAGGTGTGTTTCAACACAGCCAGTGCTTTTTTTTTTCCCATCCAACTTCCACTTCACCAGGAATCCAAGTTTTTTTTTTACTCTCAGCCCCCTTTAAGGAACTGCCCTGAAATTTTTTTTTTTTTCAAGAGACGAGATCTCAGTGTCGCCTAGGCTTTTTTTTTTTGGTGTGACCACAGCTCACTGCTGTCTCCAACTCCTTGGCTCAAGTCATCCTCCCACCTCAGCCTCCTGAGTAGCTTTTTTTTTTTATGCACGCCACCATGCCTGGCTGAGTTTTAAATTTTTTTTTTTAGACGGGGTCTTGCTATGTTGCACAGGCTGGTCTTTTTTTTTTGGACTCAAGCAATTCTCTCACCTTGGCCTCCTGTTTTTTTTTTGACAAAAGGCAGTTTCTTTCTTTTCTTTTTGAGTTTTTTTTTTGGGGTGGGATCATGGCTCACTGCAGGCTCAACCTTTTTTTTTTAAGAGATCCTCTCACTTTAGCTTTTCAAGTAGCTAGAACTATAGGCACGGCCACCACACTTGGCTTATTTTTGTATTTTTTTTTTTTTTTGTAGAGACGGTGTTTGCCATGTTGCCCAGGCTGGTCTTGAACTCCTGGGCTGAAGCGATCTGCCCACCTCGGTTTTTTTTTTTGCTGGGATGACAGGCATGAACCACCACACCCGTTTTTTTTTTTACTTTCTTTATGGCTCTAGACTGACAGTACAGTTTTTTTTTTTTCCCAGGTGCCAGAATGACCCAGAGATGCCACAGTGGCCCCTGGGCTCTGCATCATGGACCCCAGGCTTCTCAATTCACTGATTCCATGGTCCTCACTGGAGCTAGGAAACGTCTACTTTTTTTTTTTGCCAGCCAGGCTGGGGGAGGGCTGTGTGCAGGGAGGAGGCCGGGGGCCTGGAGTCAGTGAAGTCCATGGTAACAACTTTTTTTTTTAGGGCTCCTGGGAAGACTTGAGGGCGTAGTCTTTTTTTTTTTTCAGGCAGTGTCATGGACGGAACTGTGTCTTCTGTTTTTTTTTTGTGGGAACCCTAATCCCCACTACCTTGGAGTGTTTTTTTTTTTGGAAACAGGGTCGTTGCGGACATGACGAATTAGTTTTTTTTTTGGTCATTCTGCAGAAGGGTGGGCCCTAATGCAATTTTTTTTTTGTCATGGCAGGGCAGACGGAGACACGGACACACTTTTTTTTTTAGTGCTGTGTGGAGACAGAGGCTGAGGCCAACCTTTTTTTTTTGAAGCCAAGGAAGCCCGCAGATGGTCAGCAGAGTTTTTTTTTTGACAGAGGCCCCGAGCGGAGGCGCCTTCTCGGTTTTTTTTTTTAGTCCGCCCCGCCTGCGCCTTCCTCTCAGACTGTTTTTTTTTTGCTGGGAGAGAGGCCATCTCTGCTGGGAAAGCCTTTTTTTTTTTGTAACACTTTGTGACCACAGCCACAGGATGCTTTTTTTTTTTCCTGACTGTCCCCTCCTGAGGGGCCGGGCCTGGTTTTTTTTTTATCTTACACACCTGGCTCCCTGAGCAGCTGTGGCCCGGTGTGCAGGGGCCCTGTGAGCTTGCCTGCTGCCCCTGTCTTTTTTTTTTGCCCGGGGCCAGCCTGGAAACCACCCTCCTCAGTTTTTTTTTTGATCAGCTCCCCCGATATCCTAGGAGTGGCCACTTTTTTTTTTGAGGGGTAACCACCTGTGCTGGCCCCTCCTCCCTTTTTTTTTTCTCCTCCCTGGCACGCCCCTCCTCCCTGGCATGTTTTTTTTTTCTGCTTTGTCCTGTGTGAGCTGCCCCTCAGGCCCACAGCCTCTACCGTCAGCTGCCTGCCCACTTGCTCGCAGCGATTTTTTTTTTAGGCTTCATCCCACCCCCACCACCCCGAGGGACTTTTTTTTTTCTTCTTGTGATCCCCACTGTCCCTTGAACAGCTGTCCACCTGGAGACCTTTGTAACACTTTAGTGCCCCTCCACGGTTTTTTTTTTCTGAGTGCAGGGCTCCTGATTTACCTCAGGTTTTTTTTTTTTTGCTCAGAGTTCAGGGCATATTGGTTAAATGAATGAATGAATGAGTGATTCCTTGTCACTTCTCTACCTGTCCCTCCTTTTTTTTTTCCCCCTCACTCCATTGCTCCCCAGCCCCATCTAAACCCCTGGCTGGGGACACAGGTAATCTGTGGCCTTCCCAGGGTTTTTTTTTTGCAAGGTTTGAAGCAGAGACCCCCGCCCGGGTCTTTTTTTTTTTAGGAGTATGGGGAGCTGGCATCAGATGATAGGTTTTTTTTTTCCAGGGTGAACCTTGGCCAATCCTGGTATCACTTTTTTTTTTTATCAGCCTCTGTTGCCCCAGGATGAACAGTCAGAGACACGTTGGTCTCTCACCTTGACCTTGGCCCACCTGCCACGTTTTTTTTTTGACAATGGCTGTTGCCAGCACAGACAGGCGGGAACCAAGGGCTGAGGCTTGCATATGTGCGTGGCTGGCGCCCTCCTTTTTTTTTTTACCCTGATGTTGAGGCTGGCCACCACCACCTCTTTTTTTTTTGTGATGATGGGGATGTTCTCGCAGATGATCCCCTTTTTTTTTTCCACCACCTGGCCTGCAGAGAGAGTACGGCGGGGGGTGGGGAGGGGAAGGAGTGGCGGCAACCCCTCTGCATTCTGTTTTTTTTTTGTGCCCCCGGCAGCATGCCAGCTGGTTCCCCACTTTTTTTTTTTGGTCCAGGGCCCCTAGGGAACACAGCCAGGTTTTTTTTTTTTCTGAACTCTTCCCTCAGTGTCTAGTGCGGTGCCTTTTTTTTTTACCCACTTCTGCAGCACCTGCCTCCCACGGCAGCCAGCGGCTGACACACTGACTGGAACTTTCTCTCCCCAGGAAATTTTTTTTTTGCCCAGCTCGACCAGGCCGAAGTCCTCAAAGACCCTGCTGGGCAGCCCTCCCGTCCTGGGTGGACTGGGATGGGCCTTTTTTTTTTAGAGGTCCCTGAGTGAGGGAGCAGGAATGGGAGGAGCTGGGGCAGCAGGTCAGCATCTGCAGTAGCAGCAGGGGCGGGGTCACTCATAGGGAGGGGACAGCCTTACCTCGGATCTTCAGGGGGCCCTCCACGCGGACACCAGACCGGCCGATGGTCCCAGAGTTTTTTTTTTCGTCCTCCAGCTCCCTGGGCCTCCTGAAGTGACTTTTTTTTTTATCTTCAAAGACCTGGAACATCTCGTGCACCCGTTTTTTTTTTCCAGCAAGCTCCGTCACCTGAGGGAGGGTGGCCTTTTTTTTTTCCTCGCCAGTTGCAGGGAGAGGAGCATGGCAGGGATGGCAAGGGTGGGGCTGGGCCAGAGGTACCTCCTTGTACGATTTTTTTTTTCGCTCAATGGCATCTGCAGCCGCTGTCAGGAGGTTTTTTTTTTTAGTGAAGGCTTCTGTGCGCTCGCTCACCAGCTTTTTTTTTTTCTTTTCCAAGGCTGCCTTCTTCACGGCCTCTGCTTTTTTTTTTCCCCAGAGGGGTGGGTGGCGGGGCGGGGAGGGGTTTTTTTTTTGGAAAGTTAAAAATGAGCCGCTGGAGAGAAAGGTTTTTTTTTTCTGCAGATGGTGCCAAGGCAACCAGATCTCTCTTTTTTTTTTTCCATGTGCGAGAGGGACTCCTCACACCATACATTTTTTTTTTTCCAGAGCACATCATGGGGTGATGTGTAGCGTAGTTTTTTTTTTGAAACTCTTAGAAGAAAATGGGATAAAGCTTCATTTTTTTTTTTATGGCAACAGTTCCTTCACTAGGACACCAAAATTTTTTTTTTCAAGAGAAAAACACATCAACTAAACCTCATCCATTTTTTTTTTTTTGTGTACCAAAGGACAACATGGAGACAGTGAAAAAGACAACCTACAGACTGGGAGAAAACTCTGGACTGGTGAATTTTTTTTTTGATGAGGGTGCAGTAGCCAGAATATACAAAGAGTTTTTTTTTTTCAACGACAGAGCTAACCCGATCACACATGGGCAAAGGACGTGAACAGACACTTCTCCAAAGAAGACATACAAATGTTTTTTTTTTACATCAAAAGTGGCTCAGCGTCATTAGTCATCATTTTTTTTTTAATCAAAACCACCAAGAGATACCACCTCCCACCTTTTTTTTTTCTAGAACACAAAGGAGATGACAACCAGTGCTAGTTTTTTTTTTACGGTGGAACCCTCCAACACTGCTGGCGGAAAGTTTTTTTTTTGCAGCCACTGTGGAGAACGGTCTCGCAGTTCCTCAAAAAGTGAACTGTCCAGTTACTGTGTGACCTGGCAATTCCATTTTTTTTTTTACACCTAGGAGAAACGAAAATATCTGTGCACATTTTTTTTTTTCCATGGATGTTCACAGCAGTGTTATTCACAATTTTTTTTTTTTGAAGAAACCCAAAATGTCCATCAATGGATGAATGGATAAAGAAATTGTGGTCTATGTACACAATGGAATATTATTTTTTTTTTTTAAGGAATGAAGGACTGATTCATCTTAGGACATGTTTTTTTTTTGAAACCATGATGCTCAGTGAAGGAAGGTAGTCATTTTTTTTTTCAGAGCACATGATTCCATTTCTAGGACATGTCCTTTTTTTTTTATCCACAGAGACAGGAAGCAGATGAGTGGGTGCTTTTTTTTTTAGAGAGGGAATGAGGAGTGACTGTTCATGGGTCTTTTTTTTTTTTGGGGGATAAAATAAAAATAAAACATTCTGGATTTTTTTTTTATGGCTGCACAACTCTGTGAATGAATTTAAATTTTTTTTTTTTAAGGATGAATTGTATGGTATGTTAATTACATCTTTTTTTTTTTGATTTTTAAAATGCACCAGCAGGCATCTCGCTTTGTTTCTGGGTACAACCAGCTCCTTCCACCTGCCCTCTGTCCTTTTTTTTTTTTGTCGCCCCTCCTGGGGAATATCTGAACTTTGTTTTTTTTTTTCCAGGGCTGTTTGGCTTTGAAACACCAACTTTCTTTTTTTTTTCTTTCTTT